CGGCATGTTGTATTCACACTTTGGAGCACTGGGTTGAAGTTTGGTCCCTCTTTTCCTGTGGAGATATAAACAATACCCTCCCCTTGGGTGGGTTAGTGCCCCGTGCCCCCGCTACCCATTTCTTCCTTATTTTAAGATTGTTTTGTCTCTTTGGGGTCCCTTGCAATCCCAGATGCACTTGAGGATTAGCTTTTCCAATTCTGTACAAAATTATGTTGGAATTTTAATAGGGATTGAATTCTATTGCTTTGGGTGGCATTGACATCTTAACAGTATGAAGTCTACCAATCCATGAGCATGGAATCTTTTTCCATTTATTTGAACTGAGATTCTCTCAACAATGATTTATAGTTTTCAGGGTAGAAGCCTTATTTTCTTTTAAACAACTTCCTTGGTAAAATGAATTTCTAGTTATTTTATTCTTTTAGACCCGGTTTTAAAAAGAATCATCTTCTTTATCTTCTTTTCAGATTTTTGTTATTTACCGGTGTATAAAGACACAACTTTTATTTACTTTTAGTGTTGTTGGTATTGTACCCTGAAAATTTGCTGTGTATATATCCTATAGTAGCTTTCTTGTGAATTTTTTGAGGGTTTTCTAGATATACGTAGTACCATGTCATCTGTGACTACGCATGGGGCATTCTTGATTCCTAGGAATATGTTGGAGCTTTTTAAAACTCTCTGAGTAGTCCTGGGGGTTGGAGGGGCCCAGTGGTCAAAATGCTCAGCTGCTACTGAAAGGTCAGCATTTCAAACCCATCAACTGCACAGTTTATGGGTTGAGAATGATGGGGTGATCGGATTCCGTGAAAATATCAGCCTTGCAGACTCCATGGGGCAGTTCTACTCTGTCCTATAGGTTTTCTCTAAATTGCAATCCTATCCGTGACAGAAGATTTGCTTTTTTGTAGACATCTCATTCTGCAGTTTTTGGTCAGCTTGTAGTTCGCCCAAACTGTTATTGCCATCCAGGCATCACTAATTATGTTTGATAAATGCCTCTGAGGAAATTTAAGAGAAAAGTTTGTTTGATTCAAATTCTTTTTTTTAATACTTTCATTGGGGGCTATTACATCTCTTATCACAATAATTGTTTAGAATGAATTGTAATTTTGATGTGTATTAGAAAGATTAATAAGCCATTTGCATAGTTAATTCTATTCATTAAAACAATTTTTAAACTGCTTTTCTTTTATTCTTCCATACCCATGTCACAGTTGAATCACCTGTACCTTTTATTAGTGCTGAACGTTACATTTAATTATATTATTATATTTATAATATGCTATAATATTTTATGTTTATTTTTCCTCACTTTTACTATGATCTTTCTTGACCATCTTTGTAATATCTTCTGAATCCCAAGCACTTAGCATTATACCTGGTACTTGGTAAAAGCTCACTGAATACTCATTCAATAGAATCAAATTTCTGCTTTCAGATTTTTTTATGGATTTATTGCGTAGTTTTACCTTTAGACTGAATAAACGTTAGAACCATGTATTCATTGGGCCTCAGTGAAGGGAAAACTATATAAAACAAAGTTAAATAGTTTGTATATTGAGTCACCATTTTAGAGGATTTCCCTTATAATGCCTGTGAGTGTTATATCGTACCTGCCTTACTAGTTGTGGTGCTGTGAGCTAGACATGGGGCTGCTGACTGCAAGGATGGCAGTTTCAAATGCACTTGCTACTTCATGGTTGAAAATTGAGGCTCTTAAAGATTTACAGTCTTGGAAACACCATATAGGGTCACTGGGAGTTGGAATTTACTTGATAGCAGTAGATTTTTATATTGACCAATTGGCACATTAGTGCATAGTTATATTATTAAACATTTAAAATGAGAGTTAAAAGTTTGAGATGTATTTGTGGAAGTTTTGGAGATTCCCCATTTAACTGAAATCTTCTTTCAAAAATACCAACAAGTGCTTCTTCTATGTTATCCTTATTTTTTTTCTCAAGGTTACAGAAAACTTTATTAAATAAAAATATTTTTATTCTTATCCTTATTCAAGGCCAATACATATATGAACTCAGGGTCTCTGTCTTTTTAAAATAGTTTTATTATTATCCTTATTTTTGTCTATTCCCCACATGCTATGCTATATAAAATCAATGAAGTGTTATCAAAGCAGGATAAAATTTTATTTGTCTTAAATTGCTATGCGTGTGCATTACTAAATGTGTGTACACAAACATCATTTATTTAAATTTTATATACTAAATAGATATTTAAGATTGTAACTTTCAGATGGAATTTATTAACACAATCATGTTCTCCACAGGGCTTCAACTGGCACAGTGGCCACCCCTCGCCTGGCTCCCACGGGTGTCAGTTGGGCTGACAAGGTAAAGGCTCATCATCCAGGCTCTTCTGCTTCGTCAGATGTGGCACCCACCCAGTCATGCCCACTGATGACCATGCCGAAGAATTCCCGAAAAAATGGCAAGTGGCTTGGGGTTTGCCTTTTTATATACTTCATAAAGTGCATACTGATTTCATTTTTGGAAACCTACCTTAGAGTTAGCTATTTATCTCTTTTATTATAAATCTGTAAGTATGCTATATTAATTAACCTTACGTAAAACAAAATAATCTTAAAGCTGACGCATAACGACTTTTCAGCATGTGCAGCAGTTGATAGGGATCATGCTGGTTGTGGGTGTGCTCTGAGTAAACTTTAAGGACAGTGACTTGTGTGTCAGTTAATTTATAAGCTCCTTTGACTTCAAAAAGGTAGACCATTTTCTGGCTTAAAGAAACGTGGATTGTTCTCCCTCTCTGTGGGAGAAAGATGAGGCTGTCGGATCCCATTAGGAATTACAGCCTCTGAGACACTACAGAGGGACACTGTGAGTCAGAATTGATGCAGTGGCAGTGGGGTTTGTGTGGGTTTGTACCTTTAAGTACTATCTTCATTGATTGATATATTTGATTATTAAATACTGGTACTGCAAAATAATACTCCCTGTTCCTCTTTCCTCACACTGTATTTTTCTGTGCCCTCAGAATTTAGGGAGAACACGTAAATATAAGGGCAATTATTTGTAAGGGTCTACCTGGAACAATTTGCCCCAGAATAACTTCCTTCCTTAAAAAGTGTTTGACTGTAGACATCCAGAAGGGATTTTTACTCATCTGCCGCGCAAGACCCCTTAACGAGCAGTGACAAGTAGGGAGTGTCTAGATGAGATGGGTTGTCACGGTGGCTGCCACAGTGGGCTCAAACATGACAACAGTCGTAGGAATGGCTCCGGACGCGGCAGCGTGTGGTTCTGTGCATGGGATCACGATGAGTGGAACCAACTTGACGGCACCTACTCGCAATGATAACTTCACAGCAGAAACTGTGGCAGCCAGAGACATTGCAGTGACAGGTGCATGCAAATAACTTGGAAAGCTAGATAGAGTTCTATGTCCAGGAAATACTATATATACTTGAGTATAAGCCAACCCAAATATCAGCCAAGGCACTTAATTTTACCAAGAAAACCGCATTAAAAATGTGCTGAAAACTCAGCTTATACTCGAGTATATACGGTTATACATGTTGAGAGAGCTTGTCCTCAGCAGACCTTAACTAAAAAGCTGTCCAGAGATTTTTCCTTCAGATTGAAGGAAAATAATCTCAAATGGAAACAGAAATGTTTAAGAAAAGTGAATAACAATAGTTTGCAAATATGTTGGTGACATTATTTGAGCATTGATTACATGAAACATAATGTCCTGAATTATACGTAGAATGTAAATTGATGACAATAACTCCCCTCCCCCCTCCTTCAAAAAAGTGAAAGGAATAAGTAACATTTAAATTGTCTAGAGTGAAAAGGGTAGACCAGGTGCCCTCGTCTTCAGCTGAAACAGCCCTGGGTGTGGCAGAAACCTGAGGAGTCTGCCCCAGCTGTATAAATCGGACATTGTGAGCATTTTAAACCTTACAGTGATCATGTAGTTCTTTTTAAGTTTCATTTTCCTTTGGGCTAACGGAAAGACTTACAGACGGACTTGGATCTGTTTTCAAGTCGATAAACACGAGTGTACTCGCATGCACCCGGCTTTTCAGGGTTGTGGCTTCTCTGCTCCGTGGGGTCTGGGCTCCGTGTAGTACACGCAGGCGGCAGATTGATTTTGTCTGCGTGCTTCATACTATTCATCACATCTCCGTGTCGGGCTGAAAAGAATGACCTCTGGTGATGGATAGATAGCCGTGTTGCTTGGATGTGCTGTGCTCATAGAGGGAGGCATGTGCAGTGCGGCTGCCTGAGGTCCAGTAAACGCACGGTGTCCTTGCCCTTTAAGTAGTGCTTTGATGCACTGCTTATGCTGGAAGTTGTTTCTCCCCTTGGAATGTAAGTAAAGCTTAGTGTTCGTCACCAATAAAGGGCAACACTAAATTAAAAAATTTATTATTAAATGCCACTACTGCTAGACTGCTCCTACTCTTCCTTACCCTTTTATATTTTCAAGAAAATAAATTTGTAATGCTTGTGATTCCACTTGGGCAAAAATCTGAAGATCTGAAATAACTTTCTATCTAACCATTGATCAATAAACAGCTACTAATGAAAACAAAAGGATAGAATTTCTCACTTAGATTGCCCTGACTCATCATCTATCAGTTTGTTGTACTGTGGTGACTTGCATGCTGCTGTGATGCTGGCTGGAAGCTGTGCTGCCACCATTTCAAACACCAGCAGAGTTACCCAGGGGTTATTGTTGTTGTTTTTTAATCATTTTATTGGGGACTCTTACAACTCTTATCACCATCCAGACATCCGTCCATTGTGCCAAGCACATTTGTACATTTGTTGCCATCATCATTTTCAGAACATTTTCTTTCTACTTGAGTCCTTGGTATCAGCTCCTCATTTTTCACACTCCCTCTCCCACCCTCCCTCCCTCATGAACCCTTGACCCCATGGGGGTTTTAGTGGGCTTCTCTACTTAAATCAGACGAGGAAAAAGGAAGAGGTGGGCCATTTCTTGAACCTCGGGGTTATGCATTGGACGGTGACTGCATGGTTGGCAGTTTGGAACCACCAGCAGTTCCTCAGGAGAAAGACTGGGCTTTCTCCTCCCACACACAATGACAGTCTCGGAAACCCACAGGGGTCACTGTGAGTCAGCATTGACTGGTGTCAGTGAGTTTCCTTTTTTGGGGTTTGGGCCAATTCTTAAAAATTAGCTACTGAAAGCATGACTAGCAGTAGAACATTTGAATTAGCTTATCCTAAATCAAGGATGCATTTATCAACTCCAGGAAATGCCTAAGAAGAGTGAAAGAATATATAACTAATAACCCAATGGGAGGGACAATAGAATAATGAGAATATTTGACTAATCGAAAAGAAGATAGGATGAGATAAATAAAACTCAAAATATAAGATGGTAGATAGAAATATATCTATATCTATATCTATAAAAATGTAAATGAATATAAAGTATAGCATCACCCAAGTCACCAGACATGACAAATTATATGCTGCTTATAAGAGATACATTTTAATATGGAAAGTTTGAATAAAAAAGATGGACAGATGTTCTGTGCATATTCTATGCAAATCAGACCTGATATTGGACAAAGTAGTCTAGAAATATTTTAAAGAGGGATATAAGTTTTTTTCCTTGTGAATTGAGTTAAGGTTTACAAAGCAGTTCAGTTTTCCATTCATATACCTGTTGTTTCTTGTCATTGACTATCCGTACAATGTAGCATCGCTTGGGTCACAACTGATGCAACAGCACCTGACCACTGCAACAGAGAGAGATGCCTGCTCCTCTGCATTCAGTTTCCCGGTGATTCTTCCATCTGGATACTTTGTCCTACTATGCCCCTAGTCCACGAACCCTCCGTCTTGCTGTGTCTAAACTGCTGTGCTAAACCCACCAAAGCAGATATTGGACAACCTAGACAAAGTAGGCTAGAAACATTTTAAAGAGGGATTAAACTTTTTTTTTATTGTGAATTGAGTGAAGGTTTACAGAGATCAGTTTTAATTCATAATTCATATACAATTTGTTTAATAATATTAAATTATTTCAGCTATGCACTTGGAAGTTCTCTATTTGATCATTACAAATTATAAGTATCTGTTGGAATTTTTTACCTTTTCCTTATTTTATTGAACATTTTCAAACCAACCTCAGAACTGTCGAGTCGATTCTGCTTCATAGTGACCCTCTCGGACAGGGTAGGACTTCTTTTGTGGGTTTTTGAGGCTATGTCTCGATTGGAGCAGAAAGCCCCATTTTTTCCTCCTGGAGTGGCTGGTGGGTTTGAATTACTGACCTTGTGGATTGAAGCCAAATGCATAATGCACGTGCTACTAGGGCTCCTTTTGACTATAATAATTATAAGTAATTTTAAGTCTGTCCCTGAAAAATCAAGTACGTATCTGAATTTACCATTGCGTTTGTTACTTAAAAGGGGAAATGAGGAGCTGATGCCAGGGGCTTAGGTGGAGAGCAAATGTTTTGAGAATGATGAGGACAATGAATGTACAAATGTGCTTTACACAATTGATGTATGTATGGATTGTGATAAG